AAAAAAAAAAAAAAAAGAAACAATTAGTTTCTTGTTCAAGATGTTTAAAATTGGGGAGGAGCGGGGGAGAAGAGAATGGTGCCAGAACAAAACTAAGTATAATCAGTCTAATGAACAAAAGTCACAGAATTGGCTTCTTTTTTTTTGGAGACAGAGTCTCATTCTGTGCCCTGGGTAGGTGCTATGGTGTCCTGTCTCATAGCAACCTTGAAGCCTGGGGCTCATGCAATCTTCTTGCCTCAGCCTCCCAAGTAGGTGGGACTACAGGTATCTGCCGTAATGCCCAGCTATTTTATTTCTAATTTTAGTACAGACGGGGTCTTGCTTTTGCTCAGGCTAGTTTCAAACTCCTAAGCTCAAGCAATCTGGCCGTCTTGGCTTTCCCAAGTACTAGGATTACAGGTGTGAGCCACTGTGCCCAGCCCAGAATTGGTTTCTTATTGCCAACATCTCAGACTCCAATGTACTATTATTAGGTGAGATAAACTTATCACCTGCCTGATAGCTGATCCCTTGCTAGAGAAAAAATTTTTTTTAGAATTTTAGGAAATTTAATAAATTGCACATATTTAAAGTGTATAATTTGATGAGTTTTACATACATGTACTGGGAAGCCAAAACTACAATGAACATAATGAATGTCCATATAATCTCCGAAAGTTTTCTTGTGCCCAACTATACTTCCCGGTCCTCAACTGCTCCTAGGTAACCACTGATTGTTTTCTGTCTCTATAGGTTGGTCTGTATACTTTGTAAAATTCTGTATAAATGGAACCACAGAATATATACTTTTTTGGTTTGGTTTCTTTCACTTGGCATAATTGTTTTGTAATCTAACCATGTTGTTGCATGTATCATAGTGCATTTCTTTTTATTACAATTATGTACATACATGGCACGTATGTACACACCAAATACATTCTCTCTTTCCATAATTTCTATGCACCATGGATGGACATTTGGATTGTTTCCAGTATTGAGTTATTACAAATAAAGCAGTTTGAACATTTGTGCAAGTTCTCTTGGGAAAATATCTAGGAAGAGAATGGCTAGTTAGTATGGCAGGTATATGTCTTACTTTTTTTTTTTTTTTTTGAGACAGAGTCTCACTATGTAGCCCTGGGTAGAGTGCAATGGCATCAAAGCTCACAGCAACTTCAAACTCTTGGGCTTAAGCAATTCTCTTGCCTCAGCTTCCACATAGCTAGTACTATAGGCGCCCACCACAACGCCTGGCTATTTTTTATTGCAGTTGTCATTGTCATTTAGCTGGCCTGGGCCAGGTTTGAACCTGCCACTCCTGGTGTATGTGGCTGGCACCAAGCCTAACTGTCTCAAAAAAAAAAAAAAGAAAAAAAAAAGTTAGGGTCCATGCCAGAGTCTTAAGCTGTCACCCTGGGTAGAGTGCCGTGGTGTCACAGCTCACAGCAAAGGCGCCCACCACAATGCCTGGATTTTTTGTTGTTGTTGCAATTGTCATTGTTGCTCTAGCTGGTCTGGGCCAGGTTCAAATCCACCAGCCTCAATGTATGTGATTGGCACCCTACCCATGGAGCTACGGTGCTGCCTATATGTCTGACTTTTAAAGAAATCACCAAATTGTTTTCTGAAGTGCTTATACCATTTTATATTATCACCAGCAGTAAAGGAGAGTTTTAATTGTCCACATCCTCACAAACACTTAGTATGATCAGTTTGAAATTTTAACTAGCGGGTGGCACCTGTGGCTCAAAGGAGTAGGGCACCAGCCCCATAAGCCAGAGGTGGCGGGTTCAAACCCAGCCCTGGCCAAAAACTGCATGTAGTGGTATCTCACAGTGGTTTTAATCTGCATTCCAATTATGACTAATGACGTCAAACATCTTATCTGCCATTCTACTTCTCTTTTTTTTTGCAGTTTTGGCCGGGGCTGGGTTTGAACCTGCCACCTCTGGTATATCGGGCTGGCACCCTACTCCTTTGAGCCACAGGCACCGCCCTCCATTCTACTTCTTTGGCAAGCTATCTATTCAAAACTTCTATCCAGGCTCAGTGCCCGTAGCATAGTGGTTACGGCGCCAGCTATATACACGGAAGGTGGTGGGTTCGAACCAGGCCCCGGCCAGTTAACCAACAATGACAACTGCAACAAAAAAAAGCTGGGCATTGTGGCAGATGCCTGTAGTCCCAGCTACTTGGGAGGCTGAGACAAGAGAATCACTTGAGCCCAAGTGTTTGAGGTTGCTGTGAGTTGTGACGCCATGGCACTCTACTAAAGGTGATATAGTAAGACTCTGTCTCAAAAAAACAAACAAACAGACAAAAAAAAAATTCTGTCCATTTTTTTTTTCTTTTGAGATAGGGTCTCAATCAGTTGTGCAGGCTAGAGTATAGTGGTATCATCACAGTTCACTGTAACCTCAAACATCTGGGCTCAAATGATCCTGCTGCCTCAGCCTCCTAAGTAGCTGAGACTATAGGCATGTGCCTCCATGTCCAGCTAGTTTTTCTAATTTTTGTAGGGTTAGGATTTTTTTTTCCATTTTATTTATTTTTTTATTAAACCACAAAGAGGTAGATCATGTATACATTAATGCATTTATGGGTACAATATGCTGATTTCATACACAATTTAGAATGCTTACATCATAGTGGTTAATATATCTCTCACTTCGTTTACTTAATCATTGGGATAGATCTTAATATGTTGCTCAGGCTGGTCTCAAACTCCTGGCCTCAAGCAATCCTCCTGCCTTGGCCTCCCAAAGTGCTAGGATTATAGGTATAAGCCATCATGCCCTGCCTTTTGTCTGTCTTTTAATTGGGCTGTCTATCTTCTTATTATTGAGCTATAAGAGTTTCTGATATAACATGAGTTGCTTCCACTTTTTGGCTATTGTGACTATTGCTGCTATGAACATAGGTGTACAAACAGAATGTCTTAAATTTGATGAACTCTAATTTATTGATATTTTTCTTTTATAGTGTGTGCTTTTTGTGATGTACTTAAGAAATCTCTGGCTTGGCACCCTTGGCTCAGTGGTTAGGGTGCCGGCCACATGCACCAGGGCTGGTGGGTTCAAACCTGGCCTCAGCCTGCTAAACAAGGACAACTACAACAACAAAATAGCCTGGTGTTGTGGTGGGTGTCTCTAGTCCCAGTTACTTGGGAGGCTGAGGCAAGAGAATCACTTAAGCCCAAGAGTTTGAGGTTGCTGTGTGTCTCAAAAATAAAATAAAATAAAAATAAAGAAATCCTTGCCAAATCGAAGATCACTGAGATATTTCCTTTCATTTTCTTCCATAAATTACATTTATGTCTATGATCTACAAGGTCAGGCAATTAAGTTTGTGAAAACTCATCCTAGAAGAAGTGCTCTGAATGGTGGACTAGGCACTGGCGTCAGTGTGTAGTTTCCCAAGGGGAGTGTTTTGAAGATGACTGTAGTTTTATTCAGCAATGATGTACGTAGTATTTTTTCTAGGATGATTTCACAAACTTAATTGCCTAATCTCATATTTTGAGTTAATTTTTGTATATAGTGAGGTAAGAGTAGAGGTTTTTTGCACATTATATTCAACTGTTTTAGTAGCATTTGTTGAAAAGATTGTCTTTTCCTACTTAATTTCTTGGCACCATTGTTGAAAAATAGCTAACCACATATAAGTTAGTTTGTTCCTGGACTCTGTATGTTCCATTGATCTAAATGTCTGTCTTTATGCAAATATTATATTGTTTCATTACTGTATCTTTGTAATTCTCAAAATCAGGAAATGTAATTCCTCTAGCTTTATTTTTTTCTTTCTTCAAAATTGTTTTAGCTATTTAAGGTCATTTGGATATCCAAATAAACTTTTATTTATTTATTTATTTTTTTTTGAGACAGAGTCTCACTATGTTGTGCCCTTGGTAGAGTACCATGGCGTCACACCTCACAGCAAACTAAAACTCTTGGGCTTAAGTGATTCTTTTGCTTAAGCCTCCCAAGTAGCTAGGACTATAGGCACCTGCCACAGTGCCAGGCTATTTTTCGGTTGGAGTTGTCATTGTTGTCTTTAGCTAGCCAAGGCTGGGTTCAAACCTGTCAGCCCTGTTGTATATGGCCAGCGCCCTAGCCACTGAGCTATGGGTGCCACACCCCAAATAAACTTTTAAAACCAGCTTTTAAATTTCTGGAAAAAAAAAAAGAAAAGAAAGCCTTTGAGCTTTTGATTAGTATCATATCTAATCTAGAGACCAACATAGGGAGAACTGACATTTTAACAATACTGAGTCATCCAATCCATGAATATGGTATATACCTCTCCATTTGCTCAGGTATTCTTTATTTCTGTCAATGTTAGGAAAATTTCTGAAAACCCTAGAAATCATTACTGATACCAAGTTAGCTGATTAAGCCCACCTTCTCCCTTTTCTTCAGGCTTTCTGGCAGCTTATTACTCCAGCAACAACCTCATAATTCCTTTTAGGTACATATTAGTAGGATAGCATAGCCAAAACTAGAAAGAAAACTGGCAACAAAACAGGCATTCCACACTAGTTAGAAAAGCTATCATCAAAGACAAAAAATAACAAATGCTAGTAAAGATGAGATGAGATGAGAAAGGAGAACTCTTATAAACTGTTAGTGGGAATAAAAATTAGTGTAGCCATTATGGAAAATAGTATGATGGTTCCGCAAAAAAGAGAACTACCACATGATCCAACAATCCCACTACTAGTTACATATCCAAAGAAAAGGAAATCATCAATATGTTATAGCAGCACTACTCATAATAGCCAAGCTATAGAATCGACCTAAGTATCCACCAATGGATAAAGGTAAATGCTATGTACAAATAACAATGGAATGTTATGGCACGGTGCCTATAGCTCAGTGGTTAGGGCACCAGCCACATACACCAGAGCTGGCGGGTTCGAACCCAGCCTGGGCCTGCCAAACAACGACAACTACAACCAAAAAATAGCCAGTGTTTTGGTGGGCACTACTTGGGAGGCTGAGGCAACAGTCCAGCTACTTGGGAGGCTGAGGCAAGAGATTTGCTTAAGCTCAAGAGTTTGAGTTTGCTGGGAGCTGTGACACTATAGAACTCTACCAAGGGTGCAACACAGTGAGACTCTGTCTCAAAATCAAACAAAAAAATAAAACAATGGAATGTTATTTAGCCATAAAAAAGAAAGTCTTTCTTTCATGACAATGTGTATGAGCTTGGTGAGTATGTTAAGTGAAATGAACCAGGTGCAGAATGACAAATACCACATGTTTTCACTCAAATGGGGAAGCTAAGAAAGTTGATCTCATAGAAGTGGAGAGTAGAGCAGTAGTTACTAGCAGAGAAGGTGGGTGGAGACAGGGGGACAGCCAAAGGTTGGTTAACGGATACAGAAGTACAGCTAGATAGAAGAAATAAATTCTAGTGTTCTATAGCACTATAGGGTGACTACAATTAACAATTTAGTGTATATTTTCAAATAGCTAGAAGAATGGATTTTTAATGTTCCCAACAACAAAAATAAAGATAAGTGTTTGAGGTGATGAATATGCCAATTATCCTGATTTGACCATTACACATTACATATGTGTATTGAATATCGCACTGTGCCCCATAAATATGTACAATTATTATGTGTCAATTAAAAAATAATAATGAAGGCAAAAAAAAAAAAAAACCAAAAGAAGTTGAGAAGATCAAAGGTCTCCGGTTATCTTCCAAAATGCACTTATACCAACAGATTAAGATCCATACTAGAAAGGGATGAGATTTGGCAGACAGCTAAAAAGCCAGAGACTTATTGAGCCAAACTTGCACAATTTCATAAGGCTGAACTTATGAAATTATGCTTATCAGTATAATCAACTTATGAGCATCTTTGTTAAATAAACAGAGCATAATAACATGCAAGACAATATGAATATGATGTGACTGGTGGGAAAAGACCTTTGTTTTGCAGCATTGATAAGCAATCCTTAGATGGTCACCAAAAACTTACTGTTGGACAGGACTGAGCCCGGCTCCATATCAAATCAAACTTCTCTTCCTGTAAGTTGGAAAAGAATAAAATTAAGCCACAAACAGGTAAACACAAAAGACCATAATCACATTTAAATTCTCCAAGACTGGTTCAGCACCAGTAGCACAGTGGTTACAGCGCCAGCCACATACACTGAACTTGGTGGGTTCGAACCCAGCCTGGGCCAGCTAAAATAGTAATGACAATTGCAACAAAAAAGACCCGGGCATTGTGGCGGGTGCCTATAGTCCCAGCTACTTGGGAGGCTGAGGCAAGAGAATCACTTAAGCCAAGGAGTTTGAAGTTGCTGTGAGCTATGACGCCACAGTACTCTACCCAGGGCAACAACTTGAGACTCTGTTTCAAAAAAAGAAAAGAAAAGAAAAATAAATAAATTCCCCAAGACTGAATTCTAGAACTAAATACAACTAAAACAACCTTTTAAATTCCATTGTTTACAAATTAACAGAAAGACAGGAAAAAAACAGACATATGTTTTGCTGTTCATTGTCAGAATTACATGTGAAGAGTAGTAGGTGCTTCAATGCTCTAAACTCTCTGGCAAGTGGTAGAGACATTAAGTTAGTCAGAGGGAGAGCTAAGGTTTGTTCAAACAGTTGGTATCAGAGATCTAAAACATCATGAAAAGTGCAGCTCTTTTGGCTATTGAACTCACAGAGGGTAAGAATGTGTATGTTTAAGAGATTGAAAAATATAGTGATATACATGGCTTGGTGCCTGTAGCTCAAGCAGCGAGGGCACCAGTCACATACACCGGAGCTGGTGGATTCAAATCTAGCCTGGGCCTGCCAATCAATAATGACAAATACAACCAAAAAAAAAAAAA